CCCACTAAGAAGGAACGATCAAGTTATTTGTTTATCTATTTATTTAAATATTTTTACCCCTGCTTGCTATTTAAACATTTTTTGTAAGCCGCCTTGAATATTTTAAACAATACAAATATATATAAAAATTTAAAATACGAGACCCCCGGAGGGACATAAAACCTGCTAAAAACATAGAGACGTACACCGAGGCTGTGTCCAGACTCAGGGGTTTTTTCCGAAAAAGTAGCCTTTTTCCGAAAATACTTCACCTGTGTCTAGACTGCAGCTGCGTTCTTTCGAAATTAAATCGAAAGAACGCGGCTTTTCTTTCGACGGTGGTAAACCTCATTTTACGAGGAAGAACGCCTTTTTTCGAAAGTGCTCTTTCGAAAAAAGGCATTCTTGAATGCAAACAGGGGTTTTTCAAAAGAGAGCATCCAGACTGCCTTTCAAAAGAGAGCATCCAGACTGCGGCTTGCTTTTTCGAAAGTTCCGCTTGCCGTCTAGATGCTCTTTTTCGAAAGAGGCTTTTTCAAAAGTATCTTTCGAAAAAGCCTCTTTTGAAAGAGGCTTGCAGTCTAGACATAGCCCTACAGACTCAAACTTTAATAAAAGCACGAGTAAAAACGGTGGCTTTAGCCTGACGTTGAAACAAATATCGCGAGGAAGAGAATTCCACAGCCTGGGAACAAAAGCTGAGAAGGCCCTGTTCCGCGTATATGTTAATCTTATCTCCGCAAGTGGGAGAACAAGAAGCAAAGCCTCCCCAGCTGACCTCAATCTCCGGGCAAGTTCATATGGAAGAAGACGGTCCTTCAGATACCCCGGACTCAACTCGTTTAAGGCTTTATAGGTCATAACTAAAACTTTAAATTGTGCCCGGAAACAGCCCAGTGCAGCTGCCGAAGCACTGGCATAGTGTGCTCCGTATAACGAGTATTAATTAAGACTTGAGCAGCTGCATTCTGGACCAGTTGAAGTTTCCGAAGGCTCTTTAGAGGCAGCCCCACATAAAATGCATTACAGTAATCCAGTCGGGATGTAATAAGAGCATGGATCACTGTGGCCAAGTCATGCTTGTTCAGGAAGGGTCACAGCTGGCGGATCAAACAAAACTGCCCAAAAGCACTCCTGGCCACTGAAGGAATCTGATTTTCAAATGTTAAAAAAGGGTCCAGGAAGACTCCCAAGCTGCGTACCTGTTCTTTCGGAGGAGAGTAACCCTGTCTAGAACAGGTGCCATGCCACATTCCCGAACAGATGACCTCCTGATTCACAGGACCTTAGTCTTATCTGGATTCAACTTCAGCTTGTTTGACTTCATCCAAACCATCACCACCTCCAGTCACCGCCACACCTGGTTCTGATGTCACAGGGAAATAGAGTTGGGTGTCATCTGCATATTGATGGCACTGTCCTCCAAATCTTCTTATGACCTCTCCCAGCGGCTTCATGTAGATATTAAACAGCATAGGGGATAAGATGGAACCTTGCAGGACCCCATAGCACAATCGCCATAGGGTCGAATAGCGGCCTCCTAGCTCCACCTTCTGAAAACCTCCCGACAAGTAGGACTGGAACCACTGCAAAACAATGCCTCCAATACCCAACTCCACCAGGCGTCCCAGAAGGTTATCATGATCGATGGTATCAAAATCTACTGAGAGGTCTAAGAGAATCAACAAGGACTCACTCCCCTGTCTATCTCCAAGGCGGTTTCAGTTCCAAAACCAGGCCTAAAGCCAGACACAAATGGATCTAAGTAATCTGTTTCTTCCAAGAAAGCTTGGAGTTGCAACTCTACTGCCTGCTCGAGTACCTTGCCCAACAAGGGAATATTAGCAACTGGGCGATAGTTATTTAAATCATGTGAGTCCAGGGAAGTCTTCTTGAGTAACAGTTTTATCACTGCCTCTTTCAAGGTGGCGGGAACCATACCAGATCTAAAAGATGCATTAATAATCCCCTGGATCCAGCCAGTCATTCCTTCCCAGCTAGATTTAATAAGCCATGAAGGGCAGGGGTCAAGTGAGGAAGGAAGCAAGAGGAAGACCAAGGACAGGGTAGGCCCACTGCTTAGTGAGGAGGGAGAAGCAGTAACAAGAAACTTGGAAATGGCGGAGATGCTCAATGACTTCTTTGTTTCGGTCTTCACCGAGAAGTCTGGAGGTGTGCCTAACGTAGTGAATACAAGCAGAGAGAGGGTAAGTTTAGAAGATAGGATACACAAAGAACAAGTTAAAAATCACTTAGGAAAGTTAGATGTCAGCAAGTCACCAGGTCCTGATGAAATGCATCCCAGGATACTCAAGGAGCTGATAGAGGAGGTATCTGAGCCTTTAGCTATGATCTTTGAAAAATCATGGCAGACAGGGGAGATTCCAGAAGACTGGAAAAGGGCAAATATTGTGCCAATCTATAAAAAGGGGGATAAGAACAACCCAGGAAACTATAGACCGGTCAGTTTAACGTCTGTCCCAGGGAAGATAATGGAGCAGGTAATTAAGGAAATCATATGCAAACACTTGGAAGGTAATAAAGTGATAGGGAATAGCCAGCATGGGTTTGTGAAGAACAAGTCATGCCAAACTAATCTGATAGCTTTCTTTGATAAGATAACGAGCCTTGTGGATAAGGGAGAAGCGGTGGATGTCATATACCTAGACTTTAGTAAGGCATTTGATACGGTCTCGCATGATATTCTTATTGATAAACTAGGCAAATATAACTTAGATAGGGCCACGATAAGGTGGGTGCATAATTGGCTGGATAACCGTAGTCACAGAGTTGTCGTTAACGGTTCTAAATCCTGCTGGAAAGGGATAACAAGTGGAGTTCCTCAAGGGTCTGTTTTGGGACCCGTACTGTTCAATATCTTCATCAATGATGTAGATATTGGGATAGAGAGTACTCTTATTAAGTTTGCAGATGATACCAAACTGGGCGGGGTTGCGACTTCTTTGGAGGATAGGGACATAATTCAAGTTAGCAAGTTAGAGAAATGGTCAGAGGTAAACAGGATGAGGTTTAATAAAGAGAAATGCAAAGTGATCCACTTAGGAAGGAACAATCAGTTCCATACATACAAGATGGGAAGCGACTGTCTAGGAAGGAGCATGGCAGAAAGGGATCTAGGGGTCATAGTGGACCACAAGTTGAATATGAGTCAACAGTGTGATGCTGTTGCAAAAAAAGCAAATATGATTCTAGGTTGTATCAATAGGTGTGTTGTAAGCAAAACTCGTGAAGTCATTCTGCCGCTCTACTCTGCACTAGTTAGGCCTCAGCTGGAGGACTGTGTCCAGTTCTGGGCGCCACATTTCAAGAAAGATGTGGAGAAATTGGAAAGGGTACAGAGAAGAGCGACAAGAATGATTAAAGGTCTAGAGAACATGACCTATGAAGCCAGGCTTCATGAACTGGGCTTGTTTAGTTTGGAAAAAAGAAGATTAAGGGGGGACATGATAGTGGTTTTCAAATATCTAAAAGGGTGTCACAAGGAGGAAGGAGAAAATTTGTTCCTTTTGGTTTCTGAGGACAGGACAAGGAGTAATGCGCTTAAAGTGCAGCAGGGGAGGTTTAGATTGGACATTAGGAAAAAATTCCTAACTGTCAGGGTGGTCAAATATTGGAATAAATTGCCAAGGGAGGGGGTGGAATCTCCCTCTCTGGAGATATTTAAGAACAGGTTAGATAGACATCTGTCAGGGATGGTGTAGGTGGAGCTTAGTCCTGCCTTGAGGGCAGGGGGCTGGACTCGATGACCTCTTGAGGTCCCTTCCAGTCCTATTATTCTATGATTCTATGTGGTCGGTCGCACTGCTCCAAGCGCCTTGTCCACATCCTCAGTCTGTAATAGCTGAAATTGATCCAGAGAAAAATGACTGGGTGGTGCACTCAACACATTCTGTGCCCCACTTACATAAAAACCAGAGTCCAAATCCGACTGGATGCGAGCGATCTTATCCGCAAAGTGCTTCGCGAACAGATCACAGCAGAGGGCCAAGAGCTTCTTCATTTCATCATGAGTGCCAGACTGCAACAGGCCCTTACACTACCCAAAACAGTTCCACTGGTCGGCATTGTGCATGTTTCACAGTTACAGAATGGGAAGTGATTGTCTAAGAAGGAGTACTGCTAAAAGCGATTTAGGGGTCGTGACTCATCGTGGATGACAAAGTTAAACCTGAGTCAACAGTGTGACACTGTTGCAAAAGAAGCAAACATGATTCTTGGATGCATTAATAAGTGTTATGAACAAGACATGAGAAGTCATTTTTCCGCTCAACTCTGTGCTGATTAGGCTTCAACTGGAGTATTGTATCCAGTTCTGGGCACCACATTTCAAAAAAGATGCGGAGAAATTGGAGAAGGTACGCCAGAAAGCAACAAAAATGATTAAAGGACTAGAAAACATGAACTATGAGGAAAGACTGGAAGAACTGGGCTTGTTTAGTTTAGAAAAGAGAAGACTGAGAGGGGACATGATTAGCGGTTTTTCAAGTATCTAAAAGGGTGTCACAAGAAGGAGGGGAAAAAATTGTTCTTCTTGGCACTGGATGATAGGACAAGAAGCGATGGGCTTAAATTGCAGCAAGAGAGGATTAGGTTGGACATCAGGAAAACTTCCTAACTTTCAGGGTGGTTAAACAGTGGAATATATTGCCTAGGGAGGCTGTAGAATCTCCATCACTGGAGATATTTAAGAGCAAATTAGACAGACACCTGTCAGGGATGATCTACAGTGCTTGATTCTGCCATGAGAGCAGGATGACCTCTCAAGGTCCCTTCCAGTTCTAGTGTTCTATGATTCTGTAACACTGCCTCTTTTTGGCATAGCAAGATTAGACACTACACTGTGTTTCATCCTAGTTTAGAGTCTTTAATATTTATTTCTCCCGAATCAAAATAATAAGAATTAATCATGGAAATTTTCTCTGATCTCAACTACCATTGAATGTGTATGTTTCAAAGAAAGCCTTTTTGGTGATATTATTCAATATGTTTCTTTTCACTAGATATGGAGGGCAGACATGATGAGAAATGTGGAACACCATGTGCTACATCACAAGAAGAGATGAAAGTCAGAGGTGGGAGTCATGAAATCAAACTGCAGTTAACTAATAGGGGCTGGAGACTGCTCCAGCTAAACTTCCGAATGTGGGGAGAGGGGGCCCTTTTTTGAGTTAACTGGTTAAACATAATGTTTAAGTGGTTAACCAATTAAACAGGATTTTACATTGCTGCTGCAGAGAGACTCTTGTATTATTTGTATACACTACATACAAGCTCTCTTCAGCATGTTGTGGGAATGGGGGGGTGTCGGTTAATCAAATATTCTGGTTAAATGGGAGTTATAATTTACCAATGGAATACCAATTTTCAAAGAATTAAAATACCATAAATAAATTAGTATTCTCCAATCCACCAATAGTATTGCACTGCACAGCAGTTGGTTTCTTGAAGCACTTGGGTGTATACAGGCTGACTTTTCTATACAATATCTTATGACATTTACATCACTGCGTAGTGCCCAGTATATACCCAATAGGGATGTTAACGTGCATGAGTTTTTGGTAAACATGTAACTAATGAAAATTTCAGTGGTTTCACATTTATATGCAGGGATGGGGTGGGAGGCACCAGCTCCCTGCACATACCAGTTCCAGCATGTCTCCCTCCTCTTCCTACTCTCTACTTTCAGAAGCTAATACAGAGGCAGCCGGCAGAGGGGAGAAGAGGCCTTGCGCATAACTCTGAAGGTTAATTGATGAGTCCAGGCTCCTCAGTTGACCATTTAAACGTGGATACTGACACATCCCTAACGCCCAATCACTTAACATTAAACCTATACTGAATTATTTGATTCCAAAGGCACTTCAGGATCTTGAAATGCGTCAAGGTCATTATCAAATTAGTTATCATTGTAGAGGTAGAAGGTGTAGGACGTTGGGCTGAATCTATAATGACCTTATGACATAACTTGGAAACTACTTTTCTTGAATAAATCCCTGATGTCTGCTTGCTTAGTTATCTTCTACCTTTTTGCATAAAAGTAGAATGCAGAATATGCAATTGCATTATGTGCTGGGCAGTATTCTAGTCCTGGTTACTAGGTTGAAGATTTGTATAGGGAGATATCAGAAATATAATTGAGTGCCATATAAGAGAGCTTTAATTGCACTATGCATGAGTAAAAATGTTTGACTTCTTTGTTGGCATTGTCATTAGATAAATTGTTAGAAATGACAGAAGGCAAGGACGGATGTTTTGTTTTTTTTAACAGATTAACCAAATCTTGTCTTTAAAATTTAGTTTTTTATAAATATGCGTCTTCTGGGGTTAAGTTGTTAGCTTGTGTGTTGTCACTGTTTGAAACCTAATGAACCAGACCTTATATTCTTCTAAGGGAAAGACAAGAGAAAGCGAAAACGCAGCAGAAGCAGATCATCATCCATTTCATCAACATCATCTGCTAATACTACTGCTACATTGTCCTCATGCTCTTCATCAAGATCATCTTCCTCTTCAAGCAGCAGAAGCAGCTCAAGTGGCAGAGGTAAGTTGCTGCTGCTACTGCACTTGAGTGTGTGTATACTCATTCTGACAATGCTGCTACATATATTTGAAATTTATTCACCAGGAAATAACTGTGTACAGATTAGTGCACAGTTTTTGCTGTCTGTTTCTTCAGACAAGTAACCACTTCCTGTGGTTACTCGGTCTTCCTTCATACTGCAAGTGCTGTTGATTTAATTTAAATGAGATTAGGTATAAAAAAAATTCTTTTGCTGCTTTGAGTGCAATAAGATCTCAAATAACACTGTGAACATTTGAAATGTTTTAAAACAACAAAACATTTGTACTTGTTTTCTACTTTCCCTGTCTGTCCAGACCAAAGTTATAAGTTTTTTGTTTTAATTTGAATTTTGGTTTTAATTCTGGAAAACTTAAAGGTGTGCAGTTTAGTCTCAGGACTAGTCCCACTGAAGTCAGTGGGATTACACTCCTCATTGAAGTTGTGGCTTGAAAGCTTGTGTCTCAGTAATGGAATTTGGTCCCAGGAAGGATATTACTCTCCTCCCCTATTTATTGTCTTTATGATTAAAATTAAGCAGATTTCTAAATGTTATTTAAGTAGATATCCTTCTGGGTGCTCCATTGAGTGTGTGTGCTTTCAGTCAGATACCTTTGGTAGTAATGCCTGTGGGGTCCACATCTGCAATATGTACGTTCGTGTGCTCCAATCTGAGAACATATAGATGAGGGCAGGCCCCGCCACTATTTTAGTTCCATCTCACTAACTAGAAACAAAGCAGTGTGGTATCCATTAGTCTCCAAGTTTTAACCAGGTGATTTATTTGTCTTATTCTTTTTGTTTTGTTAATTTCCCAAACATTTTGTGTGCTTTTGGGAGTTCTCTTCCCTCTACACCTTACCTTGGCCTTTTCTTGGTCTTCTCACCTTCTCTGTTGTGGGATATGCCCAAAATCTCAGGCTGTGAAGCCGTAATAAGTCTTGTTTGCCTTAACTATTGACATTCCAACTGTTTGAGTTGCACTTTCCATCTAAGTGCAAGTTCTGCACTGGTTTTAAGAGCAGGTTTAGGAAACAGAGGGACAACAGGCTCAATCTTTTCCTTCTGAAGCATTCCTTGAGACCTGCTACCACTTCAGGCCTCCTGATAATCTGAGTGCCTTGGCAACTTTCACAGCTCTGACTCCAAAAAGGAGAGATCTTGAAACAGCTTAAGAGGAGACAAAAGTTGTCTCCTAAATGAGGTACCAAGTAGGTCCTGCATCTGGCATGAGTATTGCTTAGGTTCCTATATCCTTGAAGATCATCTGCAACATGGTGCACTCAGCTTAACAGCCCCACAAGGCACTGAAATTAATATCCTTCTCCAAGTCCTTCAGTCACAGGCACTCCTTGAAGAAATACGGACAATGACCCGCTTCTGCAGGTAATGGGCAAAAGGATCATATGGATTGTCCAGCTGTACCATTCCAGTAACATTAGCTTTATACTAACCAGCCACTCAGTACCATGCTTTGTTGGTACCAACTAGGTTCCTTTTGCAAGAGGATCTTTGAGTGTCAGAAGAACCTGAATTTCATTTTCTGGAATGTACAAAGAGAAATGTACTGAAAGTACTGTTGTTCAGCTTCCCTGCCCCAAAGTGTCACCACACCGTTAGGCCTTTCCTGAATTACACAGCTTTGTCAATCAAAGGCAGATTTTGTGGTATACAATCACTGTTTTACACATTGTGATGCTCTTCCCACTGGTTTAACTTTTCTGCTACGCAGATGTGATGGCAATTTTATTACAAGATGCATATAGCTTTTTGCGACTCAATGCAGAGTTAGTGAGAATGCTGTGCTTGCTTATGCTGCCCTAATTGGTCTCCAGGAGATGTCCTACAATGAGTCTCCTGACCACTCTAGTCAGCAGTTTGAAGTTTGCTGACCTGCAGGTATGCCAGGCATGCAGCCTTCCCCCTTTAAACACCAGGAATTTGAAGTTCCTGTTTGCTCAAAATGGACAGCTCATGTAGTAAATGCACAGCTGACCATGCCAACTTTCTGCAGTAAATGTGCTCCTGCCTGGAGAACACTGGAGTGGTTGGGTTTGTGGCGAAAGAAGGCTGTGCAATTGCAGTTCCACCCCAGGTGTAGGAACTTCAATAGCCATGGGCAGATTGTGTTCTTCTCCTGCATGCCACAAGCAAAAAGAACATGCAATGGTGCCATGCAACAATTAAGGAGCTAAGGCAGGCATACCAGAAGGCAAGGGAGGCCACTCACCGATCTGGTGCAGCACCGAAAATATGCCTCTTGTACCAGCAGCTGTACTCCATCCTCTGTAGCGACTCCACCTCCACCACCAAGAATCCCTTGGATACTTCAAAGAGACTGGAGGCAGAGGCCAACAGAGTCATCCCTAGGGACAAAGTGGTGGATGAGGAAGTGGAGTTGGAGGAGGATGTGGGGCATGTGACAGGATCATCCTGTGGCCATGATGAGCCAAGCCAGGACCTCTTTCTTGACTCCAGTGGGGTCTAACCAGTCCCAGCACTCCGGCTGTGGCATGTCTGATGCCGAAGAGGTGAGCTCTGGTAAGTACTCATTTTGCTTTAATACTGCATGGTGACAGGAGATTGAGCTCTGCTTATTTTGTTACATGATACAAGTGGGATAAGGGATAGAAATTAACACTAGGTACTCTTTGCATCTACTTCTCAGTACCTGTGCAGCTATGATTGGGAGCCATGCGGAAAAGTTTGTTAATGTACACCGGGATGTCTAGGAGACATTCCTGGAGGTACTCTGTAATCCTCTGCTGAAGGTTCCTTGGCAGAGCTGCCTTGTTTCTTCCCCGCTTTAGGAAACTTTGTCATGCCAGTCAGCAATTACATCTCCAGGAATCAAGCAACACACAGGCAAGCAGCATACGGAACCAGTCTGAAGCCGCATGCATGCAGGAGATGCACCCTTGCATCCTTGGTTATCATCAGGATTGAGATCAGCTTTCATCACCCCTGCCTATGGAAAAGTTTGAATAACTGTAACAAGATGCCTTGAAGGACACTATTCAGAATAGTGTCTATAGGCTCTTATAGTGATCCCCCTTTGGAAACTACTCAGACCCTTTGTTCATTTTGGCCACAATCCCAGACCAAACTCATAATGTTGTGGGCTCTCGCTGTGCTGTGTGCTTGCCAAGGGAAGGTGAAACAAAGATGTATGTAACTGTTATGAGTGCATTCACAATACTGCCTCTTTGTTGTTTCTTTTGCTCCTGCAGATGTGCCCCGGAGGGCCACTTCCTATGCATCAGCAGAGCATCTCCATCAGCTAAGGAGGCAAACCAGGAGGAGTAAAGAGGACATGTTTAGAGAATTGCTTCAGACAACTGATGCTGCAGACAGTGAGAGCAGAGCATGGAGAGAGACTATCAATGAAAAACTCAGAATGGAGAGTCAGGAGAGGAGACTGGGGCAGGAGCGGATGATAAAGCTGATGGAGGACCAAACAGAGATACTGAGGTCCTTGATTGCAGTGCAAGCAGAGCACATCCGTGCTCAACTTCCCCTGTAGCCCCTACAGAACTGCATTCCATGCTGTCCCCATGCTCCCAAACACATTCCTTGCATGTTCCCAGCCTGTCACAGTACCCCTTGCAGTCCCCTAGGAACATGTTTCATAATGACAACTGGACTTGCACCCAGCTGTGAGAGCCCCAGTTGAGGGAGTACTCCTCAGGGTCATGTCCCTTGTAGGAAATGGAAATCTGTGTTTTGTTGTTTTAATAAAAATGTAGATTTGGAAAGAAAATGAATCTTTTTTGTGTACAACACACACTGGCTGCTGCTGACATTCTTATACAGTGTCAATTGGCACATTTGCAGGCTACAGTTAATGTTTAGGCAGCAATCATTGAAAGGGTCATTTAAGGTGGCAAGTAAATAATGCCTAGCTGAATGCATTGCAAAGAATGGACATTACTGGAACTCATTGTCAAAATGGTGCTTCAAAGAATCCCTGATTCAAGTAGTTACCTGTTGAGCTCCTCTGATAGCTGATTCTGAGCAGCAAGATATCAAGGGTGCCAGGCAATCTATCACAACACTCTACCCTGGAAGACTTTCCCCCTTTGTTTCATAAATGTTATTCAGAGCACAGCAGGCTGCTATGTACATGAGAATATTTTCCTCATTGACATCAAACCTGCCAAGAAACAACACCAGCAACCCTTTCATCTGCCAAAGGCACATACGTTGATCATGCTGCACCTTCTGAGCCTGTTGTGCTACTTTCAGGGTTTCTGGTGTATGGCTTCATGAGTAAGGGGGAGTTCAATATCACCAATAGTAATCCACTGGTCCAGAAAGAATGTCCTTGCTTGTAGCTTTCTGAACAGCCCTGTGTTTTTAATGATGAAGGGTTATGTATCTTCATGACCGGTCAGCTCCATTAGAGAAGCATCCTTAGTGGTTCACCAGAATTTTCATAAACAGAGAAAAATGGGCCGTTCTGTTGATGTACTCTGTGTCAACGTAGCCTGGTACCAGAATAGGGATATGTGTGTTGTCTGTCTCTGTCCACCATAGTTCAGAAGCCTTGTTGCTGGCAGAAGCCTTGTTGCTGGCAATCTGTCCATTCTGACCTGTGGGTTGCCATGAGTCAGTCCTGCATGTCAAAAAATAATTAATTGTCATTCATGTGTGCATGGACATCATTCCCACTGTGGATTTTCCAACTCTAAAATGTTTCCACAGTGCAATCACCACTCACTTCCTCACTGACCGTGCAGCTCTCATTTTGTTGGCTCTGGGTTGAAGGCTGGGGCAAGTTCAGCATGCAGATCCAAGAATGAGGCATCTGAGTGTTCTGCCACGAGTGCTTGTCATCTCAAATATTCAATATCATGGAGTCACACCAGTTTGTGCTTGTTTCTTGGGCCCAGACAGAGCACTCCGCTGTTTACAGCCACTCTGTAAGTGCTACCAACAATCTTGAATTAGTTCTCACTATGTCCCCCCAGTAATCTGTCCTC